CTTCCTCAATAAAATAATTCATAAAGCCATTATATAGTGTTTATTTTATCGTATTTTTTTTTTACAGTATTGTTTTTACACCTTTTTTATACTATATAATGAGTTTTCTACATAATATTTTTTATAATGTTTTTATCTTTAAAAGCCTAACAAAAAATAAGCATTATAACATAAAAAAATTTCATATAAAAAATTATAGTATTTTTTAAAAAAAAAAGGGGAGGGGAACGGGACGGGACGGGACACGGGACTAAACCCTGTCCCGTCCCTGTTCACTAGGACAGGACCGGGACGGGCATGTCCCGGTCCCGTCCCGTCCCGTGAACACCCCTACGCCTGAGTAATACAAGATAGACGGTGATCAAAAGTGCAAAAAATGCCATTCATCAAATGAGAAGATTTAGTTAAAAGATCACCGAGGACTAAGGAGAAACTCTAAGCAAAGCTTAATACAATTTTTAATCTCTCAAATTTATTCTCATTCATTTTAATTTTGATTCCTTAAGTTTTCAACCATATGTTTTGATCCCTCAAGTTTTTGTTATTTAAAACATTAATCCCTATAATTTAATAAAAATTGAATTATTTTACCCTCTTAGAGACCAAAACCAAATTAAAAACAAAGTTGAGGATCAAAAATATACTAATATAAACCTGCCAGTCTCTATGAACAAAATAACCTGGTCTCATCAATAAGATCTCTAAATGGGTGATTGCTGTCAATTTTAACTATCTCTCTCTCTCTAGAGTCTCTCTCTCTCTATATATATATTATATATCATATCATTAACATCAACGTCAAGCATAACATCAACAAAGCCACAAGCTTGAACGGCCTTTCTGTTTTTTGGGTGACAACTTGTCTTCAACACCTGACTTCAATCTGATGGGCCAGATAGGCCCAATTGAAATAGGCCTCTAGTTTAATTACCCATTTGCAAATACCGAACCTTTTGTTTTGGATTTATGCTCGCTTTTTTGTTTTTTGACCAGCACATTTATGCTGGCTTTTGGGATTCTGATCGATTGTTGCCTCTGTGGAACCATTAAATTAAAATTAATTAATTCATGTCATTTTTATATTTAAATATATAAATTTGAGAAAATTAATCTAAGATTTAGTTTACTTTTAAATTTCGTAAATCGAACTGCTCTCAAGCTGAATTTTTAGCTGAAGAAGTACCTTTAGGTAATGAAAAGCATTTTGTAAAAAAAAATAAAAAATTGAACTAAAGAAAAGAATACCTTTTTATCTAAATGAAACTTTTTATATATTTTGAAACAATAATATCAGGTAATTTCAATAAAAATCATATGCAGATTTTTTTTAAATAAAATTTGGTATAAATAATAGGATTTACTATATCTTGCTTTATAGTATACATATTTTTACGGAAGTATAAGGTTTTGTCCAAAGTTTGATGATAAAGTAACACGCATTGTGTACGTTATGTTATATTGGTAAAAAAAATTTAATATTATCTTAAAATATTAATCTTGTCAGCTAAAGTGACAATTAAAAATATGTTGTTCCTCGTTGACTTACCCATTATACCGACGTACTAAAATGAAGTATAAAATTGCTAATTACGTGGTTAATCAAATAAACATAGTTGCTTTACGATATTTTCCTTTTTCTTTATTTTAATTCCTTTTAATATGATAAAGCAAGCACTCCTTGATAACCAAAAAAGTTGATAAAGTTTTTAATTTTAGAACCTTATGGTTGACATGTATCTGATCCCAGTTGTGTTCTCAATTCATTGATGTGATGATACATTGGCGCCTGTGATGATATTGAGAGCTTTAACAAAAAAATTGATAGGCTCCTAATATTTAAAATAAAAAGGTATTACCTCCGGTCCTAATTATAAGACCATTGACTTATTTGAGGAGATTAAGGAAGTAAGTTAAGTTAGTTATTTGTAATAATAAGTGTTGTCATTCCTAAAATATCATTGCTATAAGTTAAAATTGGCTAGAACTATCATTATTAGAAGGACTATCTTGGGAAAAAATGCATAAATATGAGAGACAAAAGATGGGGTCTTATAATTAGGACCAAATAAAAGTCAAACAGGGTTTTATATTAAGGACCGGAGGTAGTACTAATTTTTCTATTAATGGACACATGCTTCTGGCTAAAAAGATCACCCACTTAACAAATACAATATTAATTGCAAAGCTAGCTCATGGACCCAATAATAAACAAAACCAAGATCTGACATAGACAATAAAATTATTTGAATTCAGAAGAGGGGAAAAAAGAAGTTATTTTATTTTGCATGAGGATCATGAAATATGATTAACCTCTCTACGTATAACTACTAGAAAATATGGCTTGTTAAGATCAAACAAATTAATAGGCTTTTGATGGGATATAGGTTATGGAAGGAGGGAGATAAGGGAGCTAGGGTTTGTGAGAATTGATATTGATGGCAGTGTTACCAGATCCTCCATTTGTTGTTCCCATTCCAAACCCAAATCCCATTCCCATTCCAAATCCCATTCCTATTCCATTTCTGTTGTTGTTGATATTTTCTCCTTTGCCTTCTCCATTTCCTCCCCCAATTCCATAGCCACTTCCTCCCCCCCGCTACCATATCCTCCTCCATTTTCACCACCTCCTCCTCCGCTGCCGCCTCCTCCTCCTCCTCCCATCCCGCTCATACCCATACCAGCACCAAAGCCACTACCATGACCATATCCTCCACCACTATTGCTCCTCCACACCACCGCCTTCACCTCCTCCTCCGCCTCCCCTCCTCCCATCCCCCCATTCCCCCACCTGCTCCGAAACCACTTCCATAACCTTCCCCTCCTCCACTAGAGCCACCTCCACCTCCTCCTCCACCACCCCCACCTCTCTCCATTGTTGCTTACACCAAAACCTGCACCAAATCCACTACCTTCACCATGTCCTCCACCATTGCCCTTACCTCCACCACCACCTCCACCACTGCCTCCTCACACCTCCTCCACCTTCATTTCCCATGCTAGCTCCTACACCAAAACCACTACCGTGACCTGAGCCTCCAGCACTTCCAATGTTGCTTCCTCCCCTCTCTCCTCCTCTCCACCACCACCACCACCTGCAGCACCACCTCCCCCAACACCAGCACCTGCTCCAAATCCACTACCATGACCAGATCCTCCGGTAGTACCACTTCCACCACCTTCTCCACCTCCTCCTCCCACCCCACCTCCGCTTTCACTTACTCCAACTCCAGCTCCAAATCCTTCTCCATGGCCAGACCCACTACTTCCACCCTCTCCTCCTCCACCACCACCACCACCACCTCCTCCTCCTCCTCCTCCAATACTACCTCCACTTGCACCATATCCCTCACCACGTCCAAAGCCCCCACCAACTCCATTGCCACCGCCACCACCCTCTCCTCCACCACCACCATTGCCAGCTGCTTCATTATCTCTCACACCTTTTCCAAAGAAACTCCCACAGCCCCTCCAACTTCTATAAGAACAATAATCACCATTATTGTCACCACCAAACCTCCATCGGTTTGGATCAACAAAGCCATTATCATGAATATCCACGTCCTTCCCTTGAACAATACCACTCAAAGCGCAAAAGGTACTCCATGAAAGCAAAGCCACGAATGTGAGCTTAGCAGTAGTACTAGCACCCATAATTCTCTCTATATGAAACTCGAACTTCGTGTTTGTAATGATTAATGACCCCTCTTCTTGGCCCTATATATAGAGATCCATGTCCATTAAAATAATAGAGCATAATATTATATTACTGCATTTCAAAGGGAAGAGTTATGGGCAAAAGATTATATGTGGAAGACATCTAAGTCAAGAAATGTCCAATTAGTGTCCCCTTTGGTCAACCATAGCCGACTGGAAATATTAAAGAACTGTAAGCGAAGTTAATGCTTCTGATGTATAATCAAATCCAAAATTTTTAGTATTGTTGCTTATATATTAATAAAATTTAGCTATAGAGCTAGAAAACATGGTTGAATTAGAACTAGTGGAGTAGGTGACTCTATCATCTCGATATGCGCGAAGAAATTCGAGAGCATGTATAATTTATACTATTGTGAATAGTATAAAGGAAATGATACATGTGACGTTCACTTCAGTTTTATTCTTCAGTATGTTCCCACTAATCCAAAATAAATTGATGTATAAGTCGATATTAAATTTATCATGGTCCTTAGCTAAGATATATTATTCTCTCCGTTCTTAATATAAGAGCTACTTAACTAATTTAAATATATTAAAAATATTAATTAAGTAAGTTATTTGTAACAAATATAGTTAGTTTATCTAAAGTATCATTTTTAATCATGACTAATTACAGACCAAAACTCCTTGTATGTGTAATTAATAAGGATACTTTGAAAAATGAACTATAAATTTAGAAGACGAAATGTATAGAAGTCTTATATTTGTAACCAGATTCAAACCTTAAGTAGCTCTTATCTCAGTGCTGAAGGCAGAAACATAGAAAATACAGGAATTTGTCACTCCAGAAAAACAAGAAATATTTGTAAATAATTGGAGAAAATGACATATTTATATCATGTAGATCCCTAAAATTATATATATATTTTTAGAAAATAACATGATATCCTCTTTTCTTCCTTGGATGCTATATTGACCAATATTAATAAGAGGCAAAGTGACTATATTGGAAAACACCCATTCGGAAGCCATGTGAGAACTAACATGGAAAGAGACAAAAGTAAAGCGTTTTGGCCACTTAGGGATATATATTAGTCGTATTTGTTAAATTGTTTGGTTTGGTGGGGGCTAAGACACTTGAAGTGTACGCGTGGCAAAGTAGATAGAAGGCAAATATCCTTCTTCTTCTTCTTCTTATTCTCCTAAAGTTTCATCATTCAGATACATACAAGAGTTTGATACAGCTTGGCTTGCTGGTTTTTATTGGATCCTTGATGGACCACTCTAACCATTAGCACTACATTTTTAGATCTTTTCATTATATAATTTCATATCTGTCAGTCATATGCTCTTAACAAATCACATTGCAATTCCTCGTTAAAGGGAGCATAATAATTACCTGCAGCTTTATTTTATTAATCATCTATATACATATAATAATTAAGCTTTAATTAAACCCTTCACTTAGTTTGAAGCATATGGTTTAGTGGGTTTACTTCCATATCTTTGCAATTTTCTATTAGTTGATCAGTGTTGAAAGTAAACGCATCAAAGTCAATCATAGTAACAATTAATACATGAATAAATTAAATCATGTATTTATTATTCCTGTTGTTCTATTAAAAATTACTCCCTCCGGTCCCTGGAATCAAGAAAAGGAGGGTATGTATGTCATTAGATACGTCTGAAAATGAAATAAATTTTCAATATTATCCATATTTAAATAAACAATTTTCAGTTTTAAATTATGTTCTCTTTCATTTTTAATAACTTTAAATAAGGGTAAAATTAGAAAAAATTTAATATTTCATCAAGCGACTTATAATAAGGATAATCCATCTCTTATCTAAAGGTGCCTCGTAATAAAAAACGAAGAGAGGGTACAAACTTGTTTTTTATGTTTAAATTGCACATAATTTTTCTTAAAAGTAGAAAATATGTTTTGTTAGAATTACACACAGATAGTATGTCTTCTTTTGTTTGATAAAGATAGTATGTCTTCTCGTTTCAAAGCTACACAAACTTCCTTGGAAAATGAAGGATAAGTTAAAAAAAAAAAAAACTCTTTTGATTTTATTTATAAGTCACTTACCATGTTTCATAAAGATTAAAAAAATTTTAAATTTTATTAATTTATCAGATTAAAACTCAACAAATTTTTATATTTGACGAGAACAAAATCAACATCATTATAAATAAACAGTAAAATTGTATATTTATATAAAAAATTTCTCCTTATATCCTATATAAATAAGACTAATTTTTTTTCGTTTTGCTTTATAAATAGGACCTATATTTCAATATATTTTTTATGAACTTTTTCCTGCCAACGATTTTTGATGAAATTATAATGGTAAGACTTATATCCTATTGTTAATGAGATGATAATTAGTGATTTCTACAACTTCTCTAATTAATATCTGCCACGTATCAGAGGTGCCACAAACAACGAGGCATTATTAAAGCCATATCGAATAGAAATTAAAACTACTTCAAAGAGACAAAGACAGTGCCCTTGTCTTCAGGAAAAGATCAATTGTTAGACATCAACAATCTCCCTCTCCAAGATTTTTCTTATTACGGTAATCACTTTACAAGATTTTATTCTTCTTTATTGAATCCTCTCTCTCTCTCTATAGATTTTCATCAACTTGTTTAGGTGTGGATCTATAAAATTAAATATACACACACACACACACAACTTAACTACTCCCACTTTGCCACTTGTACAACAATTTAGTAAAATTATCTTTCAGATGTAACTCAACAAACCACAAATGTCTATAATAATCCCAAAAGTGGAATACAGTCACCAATGCCTATATATACACACACAAGCATACACATATGTAGGTATAGGTTATCTCAATAATATTAGTGTTGATTGAACTGATTATTCTTCAAATCTTAAGACATTATAAAATTTGCAAATATTTTCAGAGAGATTTATTTTATTTTATTTTATTTTTAACAAATAGAGATACACAAAAATCTCTTTTTTCCAGGAGGTTTATAAAAATCGATAACATATATTCTCTGATCTTATTTATAAGGCACTTTCAACATGTTTCACACATATCAAAGAAAACTTTAAACTGCATTAACTATTTATTAAAATATATCAACTTTTCAATTTTTCCTCTATTTAATATATGCTCATTTTAAAAAGAATAACTATCTATACTATAATAAATGAAGGAAAATATGGTACATTCATGGTAAAAATTTAATGAAGCGACTTATAAATATGACTAAAAAAACTTTCTCTCTCTGGCCTATAAATAGGATCAGAGGAGTATTATGCATTATTTTTTTGGCCAATCATATATTATACATTATTAATTGATACGCCGAATCAACATTTAATACTTGATATATTTAGTCCGTCCGCATCTCCAAAACAAAAAAAAAAAGTGAGTGAAAAGAATGAATTTATAAATTTTAGATCTCGAATTTTTAATATTTGAGATGAATTTTTTTTATAAGAAAAAAGACACTAAAATACCATCAAAAGTACTAAACAACAAATAAGGGTAGGTGGATTTTAAAATCCCAAATCAGACCCTAGGTACTATTTTAGAATTTTAAAATATTGTGAAATGACAACATTGTCTTTACTCTTTGTGATACTTTTATATAGCTATTAACTATTTTAATTTAACTATTAACTATTTTTGTTTTTAAAGTTCCAGTGAATACTTTTATATAGTTATTAATTACACAAGAGTAGTAAATAACTAAACAAAAAGTAGTCATTAGATCTCCAACAACACTTAATGTATTTTTTGAATTTTTGAAACAAAAGTAGTCAATAGCAAAACTAGAGTAGTCATCAAAATTTTAAAAATAAAAGTAGTCAATCACAATACTAGAGTAGTTAGTAATTAAACAAGAGTAATCATCAGAATTTTAAAAATAAATGTAGTCTATAACTAAAAAAGAATAGTCAATACATAAGAAAGAGTAGTCATCGCAGTTCCGGCGATGGGTCACCGGAATTCTCGTGACATGTTACCGAAGCTTCGAGGTCTGGCCACTGGCAAGGTTGCCGGTGCCAGAACTTCAATGATCGAAAGTGCTGAGGTAGCAGTATTTAAAAAAAATAGTTAAAAAAATAGTAAAGGATATCTGTGTAATTTTACAAGATTTGAAAATTCTAAATAGTACCTGAGGTCTGAATTGGGGTTTTGAAATTTACTTATTCTTATTTGTCTTTTAATATTTTTTTAGGGTATTTTAGTCTCTTTTTTTCTTTTTTCTATCGCAAATTTTCATATGTTTTTTCTTTCCTTCCTTCCTTCATGGCCCCCCGGGCAGGAGGCTTTGCTATGACGTGATTAAAAGCCCTTGTTGAAGATTGGCCCAATAAAAGTACAGGCCCTTTCGGATGATCCCAGGATTGTCACCGAGCAAATCAAAGTAGTGACGTACAAAGCAAACTAATCAAACAGCAAAACAATATTATATTTACAACCATCAGAAAGTTGGGTCTAGAAAACACTAGTCCCTCACAATATGCTAAATCAAAAATCGAATCCTATTGAGAGAAGTGTTCATATTTAATGTCTTATAGTACCTCAGATGCGTAACAAAAACACACACACACATATTATAGCTACGCTCATCTATGCCATCCTGATCCTTAGTACTTCCTTTAGTTCATAATACAAGAAGTTGGTTTAAAAAAAAAAATTGGCCAGTTGACAAAATAATTAATGATAGTTTTTCACTTTTAACTCTTGTAACAAGGAAGAGAGAGGAGAGAGGAGAGATGAGAGAATTTTTTTTTTGTAATCATATTCTTTAATAGGGGTAAAGTAGGTCATTTCTATTAATTTGGAAAAAAAATAATGACTTAACTAACATTCCTTGATTTATGAAAAAACTTAACTAACTTTTTACGTTATGGACTAGAGAGAGTATAAGTTAATGGAAAAATGACAAAAAAAGAAGTGAAAATTGCAATATTTCAATTCAGACATTTAAGATTTCAA